CCTATTGTGATGGAATGGACTTATGAAGGCCAGGCTCAGGGAGATAAGCGTGTTCTTAGCCCCCAGCAGGAGCGTGGGAAGTTCAAGAAGATGAGGCTGGCACCTCCTTAAGGAAGTCACGGTGTTGTGGCTGGCTGGCTTGGGAACTAGGGTTCAGTCTGGTGAGATTTCTGTCCTGAGGTGGAAGCTAATAAATACAACAGAACTGTATTTGCACTGTCTCATGGAGTTCTTTGGGCTGAACCTGACACCTATACTCTCCCTCACACATCCCCCAAATGTGCTGAAAACAGGAGTAGAAAATCTGTTTAATTAGAGATGTCCCTTTCTCTTGAAGACTCCCGGTGCAACCACCATCTCAAAGGCTGCATGCAACCATAGTGTATCACCAGGTTTTTATGTCATATTATTTATTTGTATAAAGTATCTTCTAAAAAGAGATTTCTATAAAACTAATTGTTTTACATTTCTATAAAACTAATTTACAGGATTAGGTTGGAATACGGAATATATTCCCCCCAAATTAAGGCAATTGCATTTAAATTCTAATATATATAATTAATTAGATAATGGACTAATGAAAAGTTTCACATTGGTACACATACCAATGTATTTTCATGAATCTATCAAAAACTACTTAGTGATAATAGAATACCCCTACATAATTAAATCAAAATTTTCAATGTTGGCTAGTGTAAGTTGATATCCCTAGACTATCCATCTACATTAGCAGTGTTACAGAAGCTCTGGACTGCCACTTAATAACTTTTCTGCAATACTGAGAATTATTGAGTTTGGCTACATAAACATAAATTTTATACTGCCCTCTTTTTCTTGCATGTGGACTTACTCTCCTCTTAGCTTAATTAGCTTATAGATGTAACGCAGTCAAATCTGACTTGGCTACACACAAATTTAATCAAAAGAACTCAGGATAGCTTATATGAAGAAGAACAAAAACAATAAAAGAACATATAAGGCAGGCAGCAATATCCAAGTTAGTAGCAAATAAAGGAAACAACAGCATTGATGTGATTTAAAAAGCACTGTAGTACACTTTTCATAGAGATAATCATATATAATTAATTGTGCAGGAAACAAAATCCACTTTTGCATTTAGCTGATTTCAGGAAGCACCTGCAAGTTTAAATATATTAAAAAGAATAAAGACAAAATCTTGCAAAAAATAAGAGGAAAGATTTGAGAGGTAATAGAAAGAAAGCAGCTTACTGAATAATTTAACTGATTTATAAGATTTTGTGCATGCCCCTGGAAACAAAACCTTTGTGCTTTGTGTTTTTGATTCTATACATTAAAAAAAAAATTACACCCACAAACAATCCCTGAACACTCTTTATTCCTAGACAGAAATGAATATCTAATTATAAGTCAGTTATCTACCCTGAGAACTATCTAAAACTAAAAAGCATTCTAGCAGCATTAAGACCTCCAAAGCCTGCTGTCCCATAAACATTCCACTGAATTTAATGGAAATTATTTCTGCATAAATACATTTTAAAGATGCAAAAATAGGATCAGGTTTAGCTGAATTATAATGTACTTCTGAAAATTAAATAACTATTATTGTGTGGAAATAAAGATGAACAATTTAAGGACACCATATAATAAAATCGCGCACAGATTTGTACTCATTTCTTAAATTCCAGAAGCTTATTAAAGCTAAATCAAGAAAACAGTTTTTATATTCATGAGAAACAATAAAAAATAAGTAAAAAGCTGACAGTCTTTTAAAAGAGGGCTAAGGGAACATGGCAAAAGAGTTGCCATACTCAGTGCAGAACTCCAACTTTCAGCCAGTTTTTGTAGTTTGCTTTGCTACGGCAACCCAAGTTACATTTTGGGATTCATTGAGTTTTTCTAAACAAAATTCAAATCACAAAAATAGCTATTTTACTGAAGAAGGTTGACTCTTCCTATTCCTGTTTAAAGGAATAGATAAAGATCACAGATCGTGCAAGCCTCAGGATTCCACTCATACATCTTAATCATGATAGGTTGCAAAACAGTTGGCCAAAGCTGAGATCTTGGTGGTTAACATTACTTCACTTTGCCCTACGAGCTTTATAATCCCGTGGCTGGATTGAACATGAAATAGATCCTTCAGGTACAAAAGTGACTGAGCATCTACACATGGTTTGCTACTGGCAAAGGAAACCTGTTTGGCTTGAAGAAGCCCTTGGCCTTAAGCAGCACGCCCATACAAAATCCTCCAGGCAACTTACCCTGTAACATGTAAGCTGCTAATTGCACCGCTGTTTCAAAGGGACATTCCAATCTGTAACAAGAAAAAATGTATTAGCCAAACTGCTCTAGGATCTTTCTTTCTTTCTTTCTTTCTTTCTTTCTTTCTTTCTTTCTTTCTTTCTTTCTTTCTTTCTAGCATTTATTGGCCACCTTAATCCCAAGGGACTGTACAGTAGGCTGTGTACAGATATAATTAGGCTTTAAAGACCTAGGAATGGAGGAAGGGAATGATGACTTTCAATAAACCGGCATCAAACGCATGCAAACACTTGGTGATCAGAAACAAAAGTAAAACAAACTTAGTACAATGAGAGGGTGGGTTGTATAAATGGAGAAGACAATTCAAAGAGCCATGATTAAATGAAGTACTATATCTTTCTTTGTGGTCTGTCTTGATGTATATGAGTAAATAGCAAGGTAACTTACTATTTGGCAATCCAAAATGGGACAGTGAGATGGCTTTAGAAATAAAACCCAGAGTGAAAAGAAGGGCCACTTTGTGGTCTCTGACTCCCAGAGATCCGGGTGGCTCCCACTCTGATGACATTCTGGAAGCTATTAAAGACCTGGCTATTCTCCCAGACTTTGGGCAGGGTGATAGTTGAGTCCCTGTTGGATGGAGTAGGGGTGGGGAGATTGGTTTATATGTTTGTCTTACTTATGATCTCTTTTTATTTTTTGTATTTTTAAAAAACGTTTAAATTGTAAGCCCAGAGTCACTGGGAATCAGGCAGTCTCTTAATTGTACAAATAAAATAGTCAGATATTACAGTCCCATGTAAAGGGTACAAAATTCAGTAGCAGACAATGGAGGTGAAAGATACAAAGGATATCACTTTCAAGAGGCAGGTAGCTAAAGGCTCAAAAATTGTAATCATGAGGGAGCAGGTAACAATTAAAGCTTCCATACTGGAACAGACTAGGTGGTTGGATGATACAAATTGAAAAGCTCCTGAGAAACCTTTTGAATAGTGAATTAAGAATAACAGAAACAGGATCAAGACAATAATGCACAGCTAAGACTGGAGCAACTATCGCACAATTGCATTCATTTCACATGCTAGCAAGGTTATGCTCAAAATCCTACAAG